TTTATAAATAGAGCTACTTCTAGCTTACGCCACTGCACAATCCAGCATGTTATTAAAGGTATGTAAAGTTTCCACTTGGTACTTTTCCCAACCTTTATAGCTAATATATATACAAGTGTGGATCTACATTGAATAGATGATAAAAATTGACCTGTCATTACAAGTTAGTCTGATTACAATTAACATTAAAGTCACAATGAAGTCAATTTACTGACAAAACTGTTCATGGAATATTTTAGTTAGCATGATTTACTGGCATTAGTGTGAAATAAGGGCGCATTTTCAAAGTGATCTTGAGTACTGGGCTGAGCACAGGCATCATACTGATGTTACCTAGCAACAAGGTATTGTATGTGTCTAAGACCACAGCTTAATTCTGAAGTGAAGATGGAAAATAACAGGCCTTTTCCAAGGCTGTTTTCACTTGTATTTCACTGTAATGTACACCACTGCTCATGCATTAAGTAATATGGATGGACCAACATCCATAATGTATTGACTGATGATTGGTGGCAAATCGTTTTAAAGCGAGCAAGCACAGGATTCTTGAATTTAGGGGTTATTTTGTTCCTGTAAACATTAGGAAATATTATTGAGCATACGAATGGCATACGAAACTATCAACAGGGAAAAACTGAAATTCCCAGAAAGAGCAGTACCTCTTCTGCAGGTGTTACAAGCTTTCCAAGTCATTGACCAGAAGGAGCAGTGCAAAAACACTGCCACCCACTGGCAAAATATTTTATATTGCATCATTTCTGCATTCTGTATGTTCTGCTATGTTGGTTTAGGGTGAGGGCTATCACGGAGAAATAAATACAGTAATCTAGAGGTTTGAGGAGCCTGGTTCTGTTACATAACAGGAAGCCAAACCTTGCATCAGTTGAAAAAAAAAGGCAAAGTCAGGCCTGTATGACTAAGGGTTGGTGTTACATAAGCACAGAACACAAAGTACTAAAAGACTCTGCTCATATTCACGCCAAACTGTCACTATTAAGGGAGCTAATTTTGCTCTTTAGAGGATTTTAAAATTGATTACTCAATCAGTTAATTAGCCAACTGACGTGAAAAGGGGATGGAGAATTGTCACTCACAATCCAGCACAGGCAGAAAGCTCTTCGTCTTCTTTTGTTGGTCGTTCCGACTGCTTCTAAATACTGAAGCTTCACAGAATATGTCAACAATTTACATATTTTGGTCATGAATCTCTATAATAATGTTCACTTGTTTCAAAACATTTTGTACACAAAGGGATTGGCAATGATTCAGAAAGAGCTCAGATACAGTTTTATAGCATAAATATTTATAACACATCACAATCCTAAAATACTTTTCAGATCTGCAGCAAGTGAGCTGCAAGTAGGGAAAGTAGGATGATCATCTCTTATTCATCACTTGGGGAAGGTGCATGTAATATCATCATCTTTTCCACAGAGGGAGCCACAGTCTATAATAAAGAACCACCGGGGTTGGTCTGATTTGTGTCCCTTTGATCATCAGCCCTAATAATAGGCTTTAAGCAGTTGATTAATCCCTTATTAGTCAAAAAAGGAAGTAGAAGAAAAAGAAAAAAGATGTATTTTTCATGATTTTTCTTGCATATAAAAACGTTGGTATCCTCTGAAGAAATTTTTACCCTCTATTAAAAAACTGGAAAAGGTTTCAAACCTTGTTTTTGGCCAGGGAGTTTGCATTTACTTAAACCTTAAAAATGATTATCAAAAAATAAAAGGAAAATTAATAAACTTATGCTAACAAAGAATAATTTAAAATCCTTCTCCCCACATACAAGGTCTTGAATAACCAGGCCCCATCTTCTCTTAAAGACCTTATAGTACCATATCACCCCAAAAGAGTACTTAGCTCTCTGATGGTTGGTTCCTAGTATATTTAAAAGTACAATGGGAGGTCGAGCCTTCAGCTTACACCTACCTTAGTTAGGCTTTCTTCCACAGTGTGTCTTTTGTCCTGTCTCTATAACCTCTTTCCCAATGGCAGATGCCACTCCCTGAGCCTGGTTCTGCCAGACGTTTCTTCCTATTAAAAGTACGTTTTTCCTTCTCACTGTCGCCAAAGTGCTTGCTCACAGGTGGTCGTGTAATTGTTGGTATTTTCTCTCTATTTTTGTACAGTGTTTACCTTACAATATAAAGAGACTTTAGGCAACTGCTGTTGTGATTTAGCACTATATAAAAAAACTGAACTGTACAACTATTTATCTATAGGACAAATGTTATCATTTTTCCTTATATTTGCAAACAATATAATATAATATTAATACGGATAAATTCATTAAGCTTAGGTTTATCAAAGCAGAGTTTATCCACTGAGCTATGGTGGCACCCCCATCCACAAAGTTAGGCCATGGTGGGCCAGCAGGCTGTGACCCACTTCTTTTGTGCTCCCAGTAGAGCCTTTGTTTGTAGGACCCTACCCCATCTTTAACCCCATCCCCCTCATTACTACATACACACATATTACAGTATCTGTGAAGGACTTAGCGAGTCCATTAAAAACCTTTAACTTGTAAACACATGACCCTAAACCTAATCCCTCTGCACTTAATCCTTTATTTATCAACTCACCCTGAATTTATCTCTTAAAGCAGTTAATAAGCAGTTTCCCATCATGCATTTCTCCATTTTCTTCCTTATGATTTGTGTTAGTTTATATTTAGTGGGCGCTTTTGGAAGACATCAAACTGCTGGGTGGACGGAGGTCGCAGCACCTATTTATAACTACTAATTAATATAGCCTAATGCTAAATTTGTGTAAATTTGACAACAATTAAATTAGCTATATCTTGATACACGGTGTACAGACAGCTGTTAGCTCATTATGCTAATTAGCTTCCCTAGAAACATCTGAGAGGCTGCTTGTATTTTTCAAAGAACGAAAAACAAGTTATAAAGTTACTCATTCCACAAAATGTGTCATATGTATCTTATGGTGTAAATAATTACATTTTTTCAAATAAACGAATTAATAGCAAAACGTAATATGATAACCTTACTGGTCACTTTGCTTTGGTATTACATTTTGAACCTAGACTGTAAATGTGCGCGTCATCAAATATCGTGATAACTTCGTGTAGACTAGTTTTGCCAGAAATACCCCTGAATATCCTCTGACACTGTAATCCAGCTACACCTGTAGGTTTATGTAGGTAATAGTCAAGATTCTTTATTTGTCACGTTCATAGTTATACAAGTACAATGCGCAGTGAAATTAAATGTGTCCTGAAACCCCCCTCGACTCTGCATAAAGGGGACCTTATATATAGTACGTAGTGAATTATATACTTTAAGTAAATTAAATAAAACAATCTGGATTTTTAAAATTAAAAGTCTGAAAATGTACATTGTGCGAGTGGAAAGTTAAAGTGTCTTGTGCCATATTAGCACCGCAATGTACTGACAGAGCTGTGCAGGTAGAGAAAAAAAGTGCCCACAGTGATATAAACAGAGTAATACAACAGAGTGACCAGAGTAGTACAAACGGTAACGTACAAGGTATTATACACAAGGTAATATAAAAGTAAAACCTTACTTTTATGTTATCTGGAAAAAGAGCTATATATTAACACTAGGGCCTATAATAAATAACTGATGTTTATTTAAACTAGGTTTTTTAGGGCCCTGTCGTGGTTGTAGTTTTTTTTTTTTAACCTTTTCTTTGTTTTTATTTGCCTTTTGTTCATTTACATAAATCCATGTTTACCAGCCTATTTATTTGGACCAAGCGATCAAGTTGAAAGATTCTTTTTTTTAAAATCGTGAAAGCTTAAGTTTAAATTAATCAATATAAAAAAAAAGTTGTATTTTTTTTTTGTTGTTGTTTTTAAGTGCCCGCTTATGTGTGTAGGTTTTAGGCTCCTGCACTACTGAAGGCAGCACAGTGTTTTCATTTTATCCCTTCACGTGTTCATTTACTGGATGTCACAGATGTGTGTGTGAAGCACCAAAATATGGCGCTATCATTTTCAGCCAATCGGCTGCTCGTTTGTAACAGGTTTCAGCTGGCGTCACGGCCGTGGCGGGAACGCGCATTAGGAAAGGAAGGAGGTTGAGAGGCATCGTGATCGCGCTTATCATGTTTGGCTGCTAAGTTCCTCCGGTGTGGAGGCCGATCATTATGGGGGATCCAGGACCCCGAGACGGGATGGACCCTGACCGACCGACGGCTGCGAAGAATTCACTGAGGCGGTTCATACCGGGATAAAGATATTTTGTTGTGAGCAATCATAAACAAGCAGTCAGTGAGCTGCAGAGGAGGCGGTGTTTGCTGGGATTCAATCAGAGCCACCGTTGCGGCTGGTAGGTTAACGAGGAGAGGGGGACGTGAGGAAATTGGGAAGGCAGCACTTTTTAAACACCACGGGATCCAAAGAGCGACAATAATGGATGAATTGTTGATTAGAAGCCGGCCCGGTCAGCCCAACACAGTCGGAGCAGGGTGGGTTCATCCGGTGTGAAATCAGTCGGCTGTAATCTGTTGGCCTCTCCTCCGCCGGGCGGCGATGTCCGCGTTCTGCCTAGACCTGCAGACGTCTGCCGTGGTTTCAGCACCACTGGAGCTGGACAGCGACTGCATGGAGTCCCGGGGTAGCCCCACCGCTCAGGAGCCCGGCGGCTTTCAGGGTCATCCGCTGCGGCACGCCGGTTCCGGAGGCCTCGGGATGGCCTTGGAGGAGGAACTGGCCATGCTTACCGGGGAGCGGGGAGATGAGGAGCAGCTGTCAGACCCAGACACGCCTGCGGTGGGGCATAACGCAGAATTGCTGTCGCTCTTTCGCCAAAAGGAAAAAGACTTGGTTTTAGCTGCTAAACTCGGCAAAGCGTTGCTGGAGAGAAACCAAGACTTGACCAAGCAATATGAGAAAATGCACAAAGATCTCAACGAGAAATTGGAGGTAATCTAAAGAAAGTACGCCTGATAAGTTTTAATTCAAGTATGGTTTTGGTTTGTGTCAACTTTAGGCCTTGTTTGGAAACAAACTCAGCAACAAATGCTGCCTGCAGACTTGCAAGTTCTGTCATTGTACACAATGTGCTCCAAGTCTAGTTATAGTATACAGTGTAGATAGGCATGCTGCTCAGTCCAGTCTATGGCTAAAGTGACCAGCACAGCATTCACTATAAACTCATCATGTTTACAATGAAGGCTTAACAGCTGATCTTTTGTTCTTGTTGTTTTCCAAATGTTTCGAACAACCAGGCACATGGGCAGAGAAAAAACAAATCACATGAAAAAACACAGGGACTAATCCTGGCCTAGTGTATCTGCTGTACATCTGTTCATCCCTTTGATCCACATTTATCCTCAGAGAAGCTGAGCCCTAACATCTCCTTATCATTGATGTTGTTTCATTTTTTTTGGCAGTGCTTGATGTTGTTTTGTTTTGAGTCTATGTGATACCTCTTTTTTTGTGATTGCTTGATCCTAGGACCATAACAGCTGGCAGCTGCTGGTGGTGCAATGCACATCTGTATGTCTGTGAAGGTTCTCAGTCATCCAGGTCATCGTAGTCAAAGGAGCTTGCAAAGAATGCACATCTGTCCACTGCTAACTGCAGAAAAAAGAAGCATCTTATTATCCGAACTGTCACTCCAATAGCTAGGGTCATACCTGTTCAGTGGATTCAACTGGTGTTTCCAGTCTCAACTTTTTTTTGTTTGTTTTTTAACCACCAATACTTTAACGTGTTTGCCCAAGACAGATTTACTTTCTCAGTCCATAGAACCACCAGTATATGTCATTGTTAAACCCCCAATAGTCTTTTTTGGTACTTGTGTTTAAAGTTAAGGGTTTTAAACATGATGACCTCTTCTTCTTGTCAACATAATGCAGCACCTGGAGCAAGAGAAGCATGAGCTGCGACGGCGTCTGGAAAGCCGGGAGGGGGAATGGGAGGGCCGGGTGGCCGAGCTGGAGACGGATGTCCAGCAGCTGCAGGGCGAGCTGGAGCGACAGCAAGTCCAGCTGAAAGAAGCTGACAGGGACAAGACCAAGGCCATCAGCGAGCTCTCAGAACAGAACCACAGACTGCTGGAGCAACTCAGTAGGGTGAGGAATGCTTCAGCCCGTGTGCTTGTGTGCATGTTTGTGCTTCAAATGTGTTGCTTCAGGCTCCCTGGGCCACTCTCAAGGAAGATTTAATTAGTCTGGGCTTTGACTCATCAAATCACATGGTCTTAAAGCCGCTGTAAATGCCCTTCCACCCCACCGAGAAACACGACTCACAGAAATGCCAGTATGTGCATCTGTGTATCTGAATAAGTGTTTCTCCCTGGCCTGGCTTCAGGGCCAGTGAGGCCACAACTCAGTTTGCCTGGCTGATATGACATAAGGTGCTCAGCCAAGTGAGGATTCATCACCCCTCAGGATGGATCCATCTTTATTCAGCCCATCTCTCTCTGACTTCACCTGAATTATGCTAACTCATCAATATAAAAGTGTAGCTTCCAGGTCTTAAGCGGAATAATTTAGAACGATTGGACTGCACACTTATGCAATAGCGCTCTGCATATTGACAGGTAATTTGAGTGCAGTTATTATGACTGGCACAGTAGAAAAGGTCTCATAGCAGATCTCCAGACAGACACATTACAGTAGATGAGCACTCAGATGTATAATAAAGCAGCGATCGGGGTCACCATGAAAGCTTCAGGCTCTATCCTTGTTGGATATACTGGAAACACATTAGGGTAAACTGAGTCTGACAGCAGGTGGAGACTGACAGAAGTGAGAATGCTAATGTTTGTAGCCAGAGCTGATTAAGCCTTCCTAAGGAGCTCAGTACAACACCTCAATCTGTTCAATCAACATCAAAACAAGCAGCCTCTATTCAGACCGAGTGCACACTTAATTGCTTTATTAGAGTGTCCTTTTATTCACACTGTTCACCTCTGTGATAATTGCACTGCCACTTAATAAACAACGGTTTAATATTATTTATGTTCTGCTTGGTGGTTAAAGGTCATCGTATTTAATAACAGATGTCATAGGAATGCTGTGCTTTTACAGACCAGAATGCTGCTTGTGTTTGTGGCTAGATTTGGTGGCTTGTGGTGTGCCCTGTTCCTTTGCACATGAAATTTAATTGCCCCCTCCCAGAATTGAATTGTCATATCAGTGTAACTGTGGGTGGAGATCATGGGGGGACGGTGGAGGCCAGATCCCCCGTTCTTTGTGTCGTCTACCTTAATGCATTATCTAGTATGATATTTAGCAATGCAACAATATGCCCTGAAGTCCTTTTGTGCTAATTATAGCCGATAAACAACTATATATTCTACATGTTGAAAAAATCGACTCCCCCTCATATGCCTAACAGTAGTTTGGTCCACTTTCTGTCTCCTTTATAACTTTAAAAGTGACCTTTAAACAACGGACCTGTGAAGCATCATTCGTTTCATACGCTGCATTTCCTAAGATCCAGTACCTCGCTGTTGAATCAGTGTCACTGCCATCACTTCTTACAGGCCAGCTATGTGTTAGAGTTCCTGTTTATGGAGGCTGGAAATCTGTCAAGTGGTATGGTTTTATATTTATTTCAGACAGAATTTTATGATTTTTTTTTAAACTCTTGAAACGCCCCTGATCCTGCTCGTCTAGCACGTGAGAGAAACATACAGCACCTGTCAGGCTAGTGTAACAACTTGACTGGTGTCACGTAGCTTTACGGTGGGTGCTGAAGCTACAATTTAAGGTGCCCCAAGGCCCCTGTACAGAACAACTGACAGGCCTGTACAGGTGCTTCGATAATGCCGTCACTACTGCCTCTGATGACACTCAGGATTGTGCTTGTTTCCTCTCCTGGGAGAAGATATGATCTGCTCCCAGGCACATGGGAAAGGCCCAGTGCAGTTGATTTTTAACCCACACTTTTCCCCCTCATCTTCATCAGGTTAAATCAGCCTCCTGAGCTGTTTTGCTCCAACACCGCGATCGCATTGCAATCAAAGGGCGGTGTTGGGCAACTCAGTTACTGTGGATTGCAGCAAAAGTAGACACTTAGAATAATTAAACTGGATTTATTTCACTGAAATCCTGGCATGGGAAACTATGAAGATATTCCCAGAAGTGGTCTGTGTTATGTTTTGAGGAGGACAGCAGATTTTGTGGTCTCAGGGAAATTCATGAGAACAAATTGACTGCATCGATCCAGATCTCATGATTGAGGGTGCTGGGCAGACAGAGGAAGACCTACTGGTTAGTAAAAATAATGAGGTCAGCCACAGTGCTCCCACCATCTCACTTTATTCTTTCTTCTTTGCATCTTTCTTCTTTTTCTTTCTCTTTCTGTCTGAGCTCATTACTAAGCAATGGCCTGTGACTAAGTAATATTAGCTGTTTACATGTCTGGATGAATGGAGGGAGTGTAAGGCTACCCCGAGGAAACTGTGCAGTAGTAAAGCCTCAGAAGGCCTTTCATTTTCATCTGACCTGTTTCTTGTAATGGTTAGATTTTCTAGTGAAACAGATTCATAATAAAAGTAGATCTATATGTTGTCCTATTAACCCTGTTAAATAAGTTGGCTAAGTGATAACTAGCTTGTCACTGTTGCGTAAGCCATGCCTCCTAAAAATCACAATGAAGCACGTCTACTAATTGTTTTCAATCATGTTGCTGATTTCTAAAAAAAAAAAAAAAAAAAAAAAGTTGGGATGCTGTGCAATCATCATTCATTTTTAATTGAAGACATGCCAGATGTCGCAACTGAGAAATTAGATTATATTTCAAAATTTTTCATTTCATTCTGACATAACGTTTGAAAACAGTTGGGACAGTGACACATTTCACTGTGTTGCATCACTTGTTTTACTAAGGTACAGTTGGAAAACTGAAAAGTTGGATTTTGGAAACAAATGCAAAAGTCTAGCGTGCAGGTGGGCGGGCACAGCTCACAAACTATTATTTTTGTTTAGTTTTCATTGTGGAACCATGTGATTGGATGATGTGCACAATGGTTAATGTGTGGATGGCAGATGTCTCTCTAAACCCTGTGTATAATAAACAGCACTTATGGTGTCTTTGCAAACATGCACCTGTGACATCGAGCACAGTAACTAATGGACTCTTCTACTGGAATTGATGGTGGGATTTGATCACTGTGCTGGTGACAAGCAAGACAGTTCCTTAATAGGCCTAAATGGGCCTGCGTGTTTTTGGTTTTGTGTAGTGCTTTAAATTGCATTTGTGAGCTGTTACTTTACTTATTGCACTATTTGTTATGATGAGACAGAATTTTTCCTCAGAAATAACTGTTCAAACGATAAAGACGAACAGTGTAAAATATACTGTGCAGTATTGTGGTCACTTAATGTCAAAGAGAAAGTTACATGTTACAGCAGGGCTGCTCATCCAGTTCTAAAGGTCTAATAACACACACAGGTTCAGTACATACTCCTTATAAGGAAGCACAGTATGTCTCTTGACTATCAGTAAGCTGCAAACTGTCCTTGTGACTTATCATAGAGCTTAAATTTCCAGTACCATCAGCAGATAGTCAGGTCATAGTATTCCCAAAGCCTCCACCCATACATTGAGATCTCACCAAATACCCCCCCCCCCCTCCCGAACAAACAAACAAACAAAAAACAAACAAATAAAAATCCAAGATATAATATTTTCCTAGTCGTCAATGCACTAAATGCGTTGCGTTATCAAAATGTCTGAGTTTCTACATTTGATAAGCTATATTTGTACTGGCCATTCTTGTTTACATTTTACATAGCCTTGCACCTTTTCCTGGAAAAGTGTTATACATCACTGCACAAACAAGTGGACCAGACACAACGCCACGGAAAATCCAGCCTTGTCTCTAATTTAATCACAGAGATCAAAATCAGACCTGTTTGGCAATAAAGCATAAATATATGGATTTACAAAATGTAGAAGCAATTAAAAAAAGTAATAGAGAAATCATTAGCATTAATTATATTTGCAGGTTTATTTTAGCTTTTATTTCTCTGGTGAATCACATTAAGGTCAATTTGTGAATTGATCTCAGCTTTTTTAGACAGTTATTTTTTTTAAATGCTAAATATTTCATGATTTATGCTTTTATTTATACATTTGCCCATTAAAAAGTCTGTTTATGTAAAATGGCCAGCTTTTCAGAGGAAGTAAAACCTACAGGCAAATACAAGAAAACAGTGTTATGCTCTTTTAACAACACAGGGATCAGCTCTTAACAGGCTCTTTTCATTTGGCTCCAGTGAGATGACCTTGACAAGCCAGGGCACTTCATAGGAAGTGATGTAAGTCATGGGGTAAGATACGGTCCTGAAGGGATTAGCTATAATCCAAGCTAATAGCCTTGCTATATGCATTAAGTCAGGAACCAAAACAACTTCAATCCATACTCTACTTAATTAATAACAGCAGCAGGTAACGGTGGTATTTGAGCAAAGAAGATCATAAAAATAGTCCCCTCCTTCATGGCTTTCTTCCATCTGGGCACTATATTTGTGTGTATGTGTTTTGAATGAGTCCAGATCTGACTATTAATGCTATATGTTATTTCAGTGCACTCAGAGAAAATAGGCTGTCATTGATTCAGGAGGTGTGTGCTTGTTTCCGTGGGTCTGGAGTGTCAGGGCAGCCAATCTCATCGGGCTTAATCTGATCAGAGCGAACAAGCAGGAAAAGGGACCTTTCTGTAATTACATTACCACACAGGCTGGGGGAAAGCAGAGGGTGCCCTGACTCTGCCAAAAACAGCGTCACACTTTATGTTTGGGGTCAATTCTACTTTCCCTCAACATTCAGAGTTTACTTAAGGAAACTCTGAACGTTGTGTTTGATTCATTTGAGGCTGTACAGGAGGAGTCAGTGCAATTTTTTTCCTCATCGCTTACTTAAATTTACCTGTCAGGTTAGTTCAAACCTTACATTTATAAACTCCAGCCAGTGCTGCTCATCTGTCCATCCGTTTGCTGACACCATATGGAGCAGTTGCTGGAGCACCTATAAGATCTGCTGTCGCACTCACGTATTGTCACGTGGGATTTGTTATGCAACTGTTTAAGACGGAGGGTTCCTCCTTCCATGCAAGGAACGGCGCTCTGAGAAAGAGAATGCGGAAAATACCACAAGTACTGAGACCCCAAGTCGCAGCTCCGCCAATCCCACTTCTCTGCGGTTGCTATGACAACCAGAGTGACATGCAAATTGAAACCCTCTGTGTTGTTACCATGGGAATGTGCTCTACAGAATGGCACAAGGATACAGATAGTTTGATGCCAGCTTGTGTCACCCAAGACCCCTGATGCACCTGAATCGGGTCAGAAAGCCCCAAACAGCATCAGCAGCAGTGACTCTCCTCCTCTTCCTCCTGCCACCTTTGGAAAAGCGAATGTCACGTATTTACCGGAAGTGATGTCCAGAGTAAAGAGGCTTTACGGTAACACGTCTCTCTGCTCAGCCCTACTTTGGTGCCCTGGATTCAGTCGCAGCAGTCTGATGTCTTTTCCCCCCAGTTTGTCCTGTCATGTTGATAATACTTGATCTGGAATCTGAGGAGTTTATGCACAGATTAAGTGACTGTTTGGAACTTCACGGTCGGCTCTGCGGTTTGCCCAAAACGATTTCAATCTGTCAGCTTGTTGGGCCAGTGGGTCAGATGTCACATTGGCCTGCTTGTCACACTGGCTCCTGCTACCTGTCCCTGTTTTCCACTCAAAGACAACGACACTATGTAGTGTTCATCCAGATAAGTACATCTGGGCTTCTTGACTGAACTAATCAGATCAGACTGTCAAGTATTTGTATGTTTTCCTTTTTCTCAGCAAGTTTTTTGGAATGACATATCCCATACCTGCATTTACATTGTTTGAAAAAGGTGTCCTTTTGTGTTATTTCAGAAAACATGACTGTAGTTTGTCAAAGGTTTACAAAGAGTCAACTACATTGACTACCCAACCAACAAACACTTGTTGAACAACATGTTAAAAGGACAATTATTACAGTCTAATTAATGACAAACTATGACAAAAAATTCTCTAGTTGAAGGAACGTGTAGATTAGAGGTATCAAACATAAGGAAACACACACACACCTGAGCAGCCCTGAAATATGAATGAAACCACTCAGTTCAGGAAAGAGAAACACGTGTTACGAGGGGGAAAAACTCCATGGAAATCACATTTAGCCGACAAAACATCCATGAATCTTTGGTGTTTGGGATATAACTTGGAGTTTTTCATCTCTCTGCTTTCCCAAGTTATATACATCCACCGTTGATTCTTGTTTATATGCTTTGTGTAAAAAGTAAAAAGAAGGTTTTCCACACCATATTTTTTCGATTCATAAAAGCTCATTCGGCTCCTTTATTACAGCATGGCACACAAAGCATGCTTGTTTTCAATTCTGTGTTTAAGTACCAGGTGCAAAGCTGACACATGAATAATTAGACCTATAAAAACTAAAGTTATTGCTTAGTCATCACTTAGTCATCACTGCTCTGCCAAGTAGTTCATGCGATTGGTTCAGTTTATCTACTTGTTGGTAGGATTACTCAAAAAGTTAAGAGATGGTGCTTGTTCAGCCTAGAAGTGATTAAACTTTTAGAGTTAGTCGGGACCTGAATCATGTTTGCAAATATATCACAAATTTATCTGGATCCAGAGATTATTCTAGACCATCAGTACCACAATGTTTTCTGAAGGAAAGCTTAACTTTCACTTTTCAACTTGTTTTTACTTTTTGCCCTTCTGATGTAAACATTATTGACTTGTTCTAAAAGAATAACATATAGCAACCCCTGTTTTCATTATTTAATCCAGGTCATATGCATGCAGGGAAGGATTTGATTGTCCATGAGGCGCTAAGTTCTGTAAATCAGGATTTTTTTTAGTGCTTCATGATGGATTGAAGTGGATGATAAACTGATTTATTTAAAGGTAAATAGGCCTTTGCAGGTAAGCAGTAGAAACATGAGTAGTCATGGTGCTTACACTGTGTTGTTAGGTGCTGTTCAGAGTGGAGCCCCAGAAATGGTCACAATGGCAGCCTGTCTTTAGAGACTTCCCAAAGAACACTGACACCACAAACAGTGCTGCTTTACAAACAGAAGTGAACTAAAATGGCCTGATGCATGTACAGCCCAGCTGTTGAGCCCTTTCATCTCTCTGTGAGCGCCTCAAAAAGCTGCAGCAGCGTGTAGTGCCATCTAGAGGCTTTTATTGATATTGATGCAATAAGTCATCCTCACTTTCATTCAACACTCGGTGATTAAAAGGCAACAAAAATAAGGAAATATAAACGGACTTCCTGCTTCTAGTTTGTTTTTCTTTTGTTAGTCCATTTACTCAATTTTCAGTATCTCCTGAGAGAGATAAATTATGCTTTTTAGGATTTTGCTGTTGCCATGGCAGTGATGATAATGCAAAATGTAGCTTCCTGAGTGCAGCTTTATGCTAATGATGCACAGCCTGGCTCTGTGTGGTCTGATCCCACCTGTCCAATAAGCTCTAGTGATGCACTAAGGCTGCTGGTGCTGCTTCACTGGATTGCACAAATAGCGAGCAGATCATTTCCGTTGTTTGAGGCTTTTAGCAAGGGCCATGACTTGTGGGTGAATTTGTGCTTTTAGAGAACCAGCTATTAAATGCACCATTTACCAAAACAGACTAGGGAGGGCTGATTTACAGCACGTCAGTGTCACTAACACAGTGTGAGTGCAAACTGAACAGCAATGTGTTTGAGTGTCTGCATGTGTTAGCCTCCAATGAGTCACCATGGGGGAGAAAAGACAAAAGAGTTGCAGTGCCAGTATTCTAATTTAAGTTATCAAGTTCTGCAACACGTTAACATTGATTTTTAATGCCAGTATTACCACGAACAACGCTTACATGAGCAACGTTTTACAGTGCTAAATTGTATTCTTTCAAACTAAAAGCAGGCCTCTTTTAAGCTCAGTTTCTGTCCTTCCCTTTCTGTCTTTGTCCAGGCTGCAGAGGTGGAGAGGCAGCTGTCCACTCAGGTCCATTCATTACGGGATGACTTCAGGGAGAAGAGTGTGTCCACACGCCAGCACATGACACGACTAGAGACTCTACAGGCTGAGGTGTGCATCCCGTCTACTGTATACATAACTTCATAACAAGTACAGTTGATTGAACATGCACAAAGTGAGAAAACTCCTCCTAAAGCTGACTAGAACTTCTAACAGGAACATTTATCTTAGGTACTTAAGAGTTAAAAAAATCATGGTGCCTAGTAGAAGCAATTTAAGTCATTTCTAGTTACCAAGAACTGTACAATTTTTTGAATAAGCTGGTCTGTTCAGATACTTCATTTTGTCCACAACCATGTA